TTTTTTTTAATAGCTATCAGTGATGATTATTTTATCTATAAGGGAGACGCGTAACCTTGGAATAAACCTGGCTTCCAACAGATGTTTGGGAACGCAGTTGTTTTCAAAGACTTCCGAAACAAACCACTTTAGAGAAGATTTAAGTTAGGCTTAAAATGACAACAGCAAAAAATTAGCCGCTTTCCTTTCCTTGCATGTTTCAGATGTGCACGAACTAATTTTTTTTCCTTTTAAAAAATTTTTTTTCGCAATCTTGGGAACTTTGGGCTGGGTTATAATGCAAGTTGAAAAATATATACTTTCTTTTTTTCCTAGAGCATAGAGATTTGTCTCCAATGCAATTTCTGCCTCATTTTACCAATTAAAAGCTATTTTTACCATTTTCTGCTATTGTTGTGCTTTTATTAAAAAGCTGCCTTTCGTATTTTTGATATGAAGGTGGTAACAAAAAAAAAAGAAAATAAAAAAATCCTAGAATTATTTTTTACTCTTTTTAGAATTTTTTGCATGCTATGGAAATAAAAAAAGATAAATCCCAAGATCAATACATTTAAATATTACACTATAAATTTTAAAAAATGTACAGATTTAAGACCTGTTTTTGTTTTAATTGTACAAATTTTAAAAGGCCTGCTATTTAAGTTCCGATAGGGACAATGTCGCTTTATTTACTGTCTCTTAGAATTGTACAGATAGCTCTTTTTTCCGATACAATAAAATCTTTACCATTTTAATATACTTTTTAACGTCCTTCTTTGTGACCGAAAAAACCACTCCACCGGCCCGAGGTTACGCCAGACCTTTCCCCCACAGGAATCTCCCATCCTGTTTGCATTTAAAGTTACTCTAAGAGCAGTACCTGCGAGAAAAATGACGGGAAAGGAGCAGACGAGCGAGACCGTGATTTTTTATTTTTTTTTTCTAAGTCTAATGCCAGGCAGAGTTTAGCAAAGGAAGAACGCGGTTTATCGATAAGGCCGGAGGTACGGGCAGCGCTGSCCGGGCGCGGGGGATGCGCGGCGACGATGGGAGCGCGGAGGGGTGAGTGGGACCACCCGGGACCGCCCCACCGCTCCTGCCATCAGCAGGGCATTTCCAGTCCCAAATTGGAGGGGAAAGAGAGAGAAAAAATAATGGGGAAAAAAAAAAAAAAGAACCAAATCCGAGCGGGAGCAAGGAGTTATCAGCGATTTGGACAAAAGGAGCGGAGTGTACTTGCGGGGGGAGTTGCCCTCCGCCCGGCGGGCCAGGCCTCCCGCTTCTGGGCAAAAGCTGCCACGGGGATGCGGGGGTGGAAAATGTTTCTTTTTCTCCCTTTAATTATTTTTCTTTTGATTTCTTCCCTCTTCTTCTTTTTTTTTTTTTTTTATTTTATTTTTTTTTTCCGCCAAATTTAAAGCTCTGGCGAATGTGTTTTCTCTTGGCAGCGTGACTTGCCTTTGGAGTCGAGCAACGTGTGTTTCTCTCTATTCTTTGCAAAATTTATGTGAGAAAGGCAAATCTGGTGTACAGTGGTGGAGTCGGCAGAGAAGTGTCCAGATAAGACGGGGTTGGTTTGTGGGTTGGATTTTTTTTTTTTTTTTGGTCCAGTTTCTCCGAGGCTAAATAAATCTTTCTCCTCTTTGAGAATGGATGGGGTTGTAATTTTTAGCGTAAAGCATGAAAACTGGGGACAAATGAGCCCTCTTCTCTGAAGTGACAAGCGACAATGGAGCATATACAGCCTCCTGCGGTTCGCCATGCTGAAACAAGCGTGCCCCTCCACAGCAGAGAGAAGGCGAGCGCTTGGAGACCATATGGTTTTTGAATTTTCTTCACAATTTCCAGACAATTTGATGGATTAGGTTAACCCTCCCTTCCACTGTTTAACTCCACAACAATGGGAGCAGAGCTGTTCTCCCTTCGTCGGGGCATCTGTGCGCTTCTATTCTTTTTTCTTTCTCTCTTGGTATTTGGAACAAGCCTATGAATTACAATGAAATTCACTTTTCTTTAGTATTATTTGGAAGAGCACTTGTTTTCCGCCACCTCCCGCCCCCACTCCGCCATCCCCTCTTTTTTCTTTTTTCCTTTTTTACCTCCGAATGATAGCTTTGACTTCTGTCCAGATCTCTCGGAAAGCCTTCAATCTTGTCCTTAAGTGTTTTTATGCTAAACAGGGAAATCGTAAATGCTGAGAAACTGTGACATTTATGTGAAGATCTAGTTAAAGGGCTTTATTTGTTTTCTTTATCTGTTTTTTCCCCCTCATTCCCTCTCCTGTTCCCCCCTCCCCTCCTGTCCCCTCCCTCCCCCCAGTCTTTTATTCTTTTGTCTTGGAATGGATTTAATGAGGCTGCAAACAGTACAATTCACTATAACCAAGAAATTTAAAAAAAAAAAGAAGCGACTGGGTGTATGGAAAATAGTCTGGGAGTTAATTTGGGTTTCTGATCTATTGACTTCAGAGTGCAAAGAGAAGAGATGCCGTGCCGCCTTGCACCCGCAGAAGTTTACCACACGTGGCTGGGGCGGGTTAGTAAATAAAGCCTCCTCCTGAAGATTTGCAGCCTGTTAATTTGGCTCGCCCCCCATTCCAAATAACTGGGATTTTTGCTGTTTCATCTGCGTATTGACAAACAAAACCTATTTTTTTAAACTTAAAAATGAAGCGTTGGCTTGTGCCCTTCGTTTGTCATCCAATTTGAAACGCGCCGTTCCCTGGGAGCACCTACCTGAGTAGATCTACTGCTCGGGGTTTGCTCTCCCTCGAATTTTAGATACAATACGGCTTTTTTTTTTTTTTTCTTTTTAGCGTTTTCTTTTGCTGGTTTCTTTTTATTTTTTTTTTTAGGGGGGGTGGGAATGGGGGTGGGGGTTGTTGTTTGTTTGTTGGTTGGGTTAGGCTTTTTTTTCTCCCCGCAGCAGCAGTAGGGACGCGGTGACAGCGCTGAATCGCGCCCTCTGGGCTGACCCAGCCGCAGCCCTTCCGGAGGGCTGCTGCCACGGACGCGGCATGGAACCCCTCCTGCCCGCCCCAGAATCCCAGATTTACCCCAAATTAGGGATCTCCGGATCTGCCCCGCAGACCCAGCCACCGCCGGCCACTTCCCTCCGTATCCAGCACCGTCCCGGAGAAGGAGGGAGCTGAGCCGAGACCCCCAGCTGGAACTCACTGCCCGGGGACACCTGGGGCTGCGGTGCCCTTTTCTGGCCTTCAACCTGCCCCCGGTACTTCCTGCACGGATTCACAGCAGGGAGCAGAGTCCGTCCCGTTTCCCACCCCGGGCAAACCCGCGTTTCGGATCTTCTCGGCCCCAGCCCGGTACTCCGTGCCCGGGGRACCGGCTCACCGCGGTTCGCCCCGTGAAAAGGGGAACACGGGGCAGGCACAAAGACAGACCCTTCCCAAATGATTCCCAACAGGAAAAATAAAGGCCTCAATACGCTTAAACACCCCAGGTCCTGGCCCGAGAACGTGAAAACTCGCAATTACGCAAAAGCGTGTGCGGGAACATGGAAGCACCTTGCGGGAGCGGGCTGCAGGCCCGGCGGTCCCTCCTCACCCGCCCCGTCGGGGGCTCAGCCGCCCCGTGTGTCCCGGGTCAGGGCGGGCTTGGGCACCGGGCGCGGGCAGGTGCGGGCAGGGGCAGTGTGGGCGCGGCGACCCTCGAGGGTCTCGGTCCAGCCAACACCTCGGCCACCGCTGTTCCCTTCCMCGTAGAAAACCCATTTCTCAAACGCAGGACCCGGACATCCCCCCGTCCGCGTCCCCCCACTCCATCCTCCCGCCCCTGCCATACCCATCCTTCATCCCCAAACTTGACAGTGCCTTACATTTCGTTTGGAGGTGTGAAGGGAGCGGGAGGGAAGGATGCGGTTGGAAAAGCCACTCTTTAGTGTTTGCGGGGGGGGAGTTAAGCTTTTTCTTTTTTTAAATTTTTTTTTTTTTTTTTTTTTGAGGGGGGTGGAGAAGATCCATATTTGATCTTGTTCACTTCACACAGGGCTCCCAGACGGAGAATAAAGCCCCCTCCTGAATTATCCAACAGGGTTGAAGCAGGTTGAGTCAGTGAAATTCAGTTCCTTATTTTATGAGGTGTCAGGGCTGATGTCGAATATGGCAACGATAACTAATACTACAGTCTGAGGGACCAGAACGTGGTAATTAATCCCAAAGACTTAAGTGTATTTTAGTTCAGGAGAAAAAAAATCACTAATTCAATCGTCCGGAAAATTGAAGTTTGATGCATGAGTCTCTGCTGAAAGGAAAGGCTTTTTCTTCCCGATTCTGGGGTTGGGGCAGGAATTGCAGCCTGTCTCCTCCGCTCCCCGGAAAGGCCCTGTACAGGACCGCTGCACGCCCGCTCCCTGCCCGGGGCACACCGGGGACGGGCAGGCTGAGGGACGGGGATGGCACAAGGCTCTCCCCATTTCCTCCGCATCCAACACCGTCTTTCCCGTCCCCCGCAGTAAGCACTAAACATTCGCGGGCATATCGCGACCTGTGATTTGTATCGCGACATGCGGAAAGGCTATGGGGCAGAGCCCCGCGTCCCAGCCGCTCCGGGCCTTCCACTGTCCCCGTACCTCCGGCAGCGACTTCGGGGGGGGACCCATAAGCATTTTGCCTGCCTGCCACCCTCCCTTCTCCCCCGCTTTCCGTCCCGGGGAAAGGCCCGTATTCGCTCTCTCGGCTCTGCGGCACTCTTGGGGGGCGCTGGGGACACCGGACCCGCCTTGTGTGCCCGAGCGAGGAGACGGGCACCCTCGGGCAGTCCGGGCACGGCCGAGGCCGCTTGGAAAGGGAAGGCTCCCACGCCGTGATATCAGTGGGGCAGCGCTTGCTGCATTCAGCCCCACGGCCGTGAACATCCTGCTCCGCGCCGCTCGGCCCCGGACCCCTTTCAGCCTTCTCAAACTCTGATCTCTCCCCCGGGCCAAAGCGGGACCGCCCCGTCGGACCACTCCCTCCCCCACCTTCTGCCAGGCTTTCTGCTCTCCCGGGAGCCTGGAGGGTCCATCCGCCCAGACGGGCTGCGTTGGCACCCTCCGGGATGTCYCTGGAATCTGGCTGTCCCTTCTGCAACGAGGGGCGGTACTTTCGACGTGCGCACCAGAGGCCCTTCGCCCTTCTCGTCCAGGTGAGCCCAGTGCGGGGAGGGAGCAGAGCCTGAAGCCTTCACTCAGCTGTCTGGCAGAACTGAGCCTGCCCCGGGCGGGTTTATTCTCCCCCCTGTCCCCATCCCGGCCTGGTTTCCCCAGGGRAAGGTCCCCACCGCTGGAGGAAGGGACCCGGGCACCCAGGGCAATCGTGCGCTGTCCTGTCGTGCAGGTGACACGAGGAGGCGGCAGCAGGTATGACGTCATCGACTCCCACGGTGACTTCATCACCCGTCCCACCAAAAGCAAGTGGCCGTCGGAAAACAGCCCTCGAGGGGGCTGCCGTCAGCGCCGAGCTAAGGGGGTCAGGGGGTGTGGGGATGTCCTGTGCCTCCCAGAACCGGACGCTTGATATCATAACACAGAGGGGCGGGSAGCCAGGGATGCCCGGGACTGCCCGCTGCCGGGATTCCTCTGCCGGCAGGGCTCCGGTCCTCGCCCCTACCCCGGCCTCTGCTCGCCCCTTTCCTTGCCCATCGCGCCGCGCTCCCTCCGCAGCACTGCTCGCTGAATGCATCGCTACGCGGAGCCGAGCCGGGCCAGGGTGCGGGAGGGTGTAAACACGTGTAGAGGCCGTACTGGTAACACGTGTGAGGCTGTGTCCACACCCCCACGGCTACAAACTGCACACCTTCACCGCACTTTTGATTTTTATTCCCCACCACCATGTCGGGGAGGAAGAAAGAGAGCGCTGCCCGCTGGGTGCGGGAAGAGCCGAGGAACCCGGAGCGAGGGCTTCGCTCCCGTTCCCCGGGGCGGAGCGGCGTCCCCACATCGCTCAGAGGGGACCGCGCGGAGCCGCTCACCGGCGGGCCCGGCCCGTGTTAAATCAGCCCACTTGGGCTGAGGGAGGGAGAAGCAAACGGGGAGAGGAGAGAAAATGATTGCATATTTAATAAGCTGCTCGGCAAAAGATGGTTTTGCCGGGATGGCACCGGCAGCAGGCTGGGTGGAGGGGCCGCCGTGGGGCCGCACACCCACCCGCGTCCATCGGCTCACACRCAGGAACCACCGTGTGCTGGAGTCGTTATCATTTTTGTTAACTTTTTATCGACTGCTTGCTAGATGGCATGTCACTAAAGTGTATGATTTGAGATGAAAAATTAGACAGATTAACCCGAGGGGAGAGCCTGATTGATTACTAAATAGGATCAATTTGAAAGTTTTAGTCATAACGTTTCTGTAGAGCCCCTTAATACTTCAAACTTCAATTTTACGGGCTATTGAACTAAGCATGTTCCTGACAAAATTGATATATGTATTAATTTGCTTTAACTGTTGATTAATTACTCTCCACTGAAAGAATTATATGGAGCTGTTTGCCTCAGATTTGCATATTAATCAAATTCTAGTTGATAATTCAGTTGGTGCGATGGATTTGGAGATGGGAGGGGGCCGAGACAGGGCAGGGCTTGCAGGAGAGAGAGAGAGAAAAAAAAAAATATCGCTAACCTCTGCTTCCTCCCCAGGTTTTCCATCTCGAGTCCCCTCTCTCCCCACCTCTGTGCTCCCCTCACTGCTTAGCTGCCAGTTAGTGCATTAAAATCAAAGATGCAGAACGCGCTACCCTGGCTATTTGGTGAAAACAGAAATTGCCTGTCCGGTTTTTATGATGTTCTCAGCCTGAGAAGGCTGCACTTTAATGTGTCCTGTCAACATGTCTGGGATTTAAAGGGAAAACGGCACAATTTAGCGCCGGATAATTAATGACAAAGCGCCCCGGCCGTTACGATGGAAGCGACGCCCTCAGCCCCTCCGGGTGATGCCCAGTCCGGGAGGAGCAACTACGGCTGCCGGCGCCCAGCCTCGACGGGGTGAGAGACGCTGTATTTCTTGCTCAGTATAAGGGAGCAGGCTACAGAGCCGGTCTTCCTAAATGGCGAGCAAATTAACAGGAAAATAAAATTAATTGGAGAGGCTCCGGCTCGCTATGCGCTGAGGAAGGATAATGGTGCGGGAMCTGGGGAGGTGTCCGGAGGGTTACTTTTCACGGAGGGGGATGCGCCCCGAGCTTGCCCGACCCAGCCCTCCGGCTCTCTCACGGCGCATCCCGCCCGGTACCGGCCCAAAGACCACCGGCAACCGAGAGGCGGCTGCAGATGGACACGGRGAAATAAATATTTCCTGGTGTGCGCGCAGCTCGACACGCCCGGAGACCCCGCTTCCTCCCACCTCCTCTTCCTCCCCACCCCTGCGTCCATCCGTCCATCCTTCCAGCAGGAGCAACTCCCGCACTCCCTGTCCGAGTCTCTGCTGCTTCTTAAGCCTTAAACCTCGACACGCCCTCGCTGCGGATTGTGAGGGTCTGGCTATAGCAAC